GCATCTCAAAGTACGTCAGCAGTTATCCCTCGAAATCGAAGTAACATATACGATACCAAAAAGAAGATTATCAATGCGGGTATGGACAGAATTAATGACAAATTTGGAGAAGTGTTTGCCAATGCTTATGCAGACGGAGTAATCGCAGGAATCAATCGTGTTCTTAATATGTAAATAAACTAAATTTTTGTCATAATGAAAATAAAATTTTCATGTAAATTTTGTTGTCTTTCAATTCATGTGTTCACTTTGTGAGCACGGCATGCTAGACCGGTGCTCTCTAGGACTTTCACTACTAACAATACGTAAGTGTAATTGTGTAGGAACGATGTCGGTCAGCATACGTGTTAAATTATAAGTATTTCAGTTAGCTAACGTGCATAAGTATCATAGTCATATACAAGTCTTTAGGGACAATAGTAGGCATACCTTAGGCACTGCATTCGAGTCCCAGTTCTTATACGGTTACGTGTATTCGAAAGTATTGCATTACTAATGTTTCACTTAAAGCGTGATGTCAATCCATATGACTAAGGCTGTTGACATGTAGCGTAAATTCAAGTCTACACCAGACGAATTATTGAATTCGTTGAGCTTTAACAATCGTATTTAGATTTAGCTTACACTAAAATATGCCACCAATTACTTCGTCAGTTCTTATTAATAAGTCATGTCTGCACCTAGTCATCATGACAAATACATCTAAACTCAGATATAATAAGAAAGGTCTGGTAAGCAGGATATTAAATGTATTTAATGAAAAAATAATAACAAGCAAATGTGTTTACGCAGTCGATTGTCGGAATAATTTGTGCAATGTCGAATCTCTGTGACTGGGGTGATTGACGTTACCAGATATCTACAAATAAGTAAACAAAGTGTTTTTTAAATAGCTGAAGTAAGGAAGAAGTAATATTAAAGGTAAACGATTTATATCTGCCTACCTTTGCTGAAAATGGTTTATTCTCCTTTCTCATTCTTTGGTAATGACATCATTATTCTGGGGTTTTCACTGCCACACACATTATTCCTCTTCTAAAGGATAGCAGCAAGCATATAGTAATAATTTCAAATTTCGTTTAAACCAATGTTTACAATGAATGCATGTCATTTCTACAGGCGCAATAAGTTATGTTATAAACTGCAATCGTGAAGTATCATAAATTATAAGAGTTAAATTGTAAACCCTTAACAATGAACACCGTACATTTGGCTAAGTGCTATGTCGTTGGAATGTGAGTATACATTTGCAATGTTTAATGCCAACCATATTGGTGTAAGGATAGAAAATATGATGTTTTCTATGAAAATACAGCTTTGTTCCAACACTGCTGTTGTTGTGTTTCTAATAAAAGCAAATAGACTGTAAGCATAAAGGCATATCCAGTTAACATAAAATGCAGTGTAATAGTGCACAAATGAAAAGACCATAGTGAAGTAGATAAGTGATACTTCAGTGAGAGGTAAATTGAAAGATCTGCAACCTTATAATATGGAAGACAACCTGACATGTAAGATGTCTCACAAATTTCTATAGGGCCTGTGGGGTACCATGGATGGTTTGGCGTCAATCGCAGCTTTGGAATAATGAGTTACAAATGCAAAAGGTAACAACCAACGAAACTGCAGTAGTATTTTCTAGCTGTTCAGCATTTTTTCCTTTAATGCAGTTTCTTATCAACAGTTTGCAGTATTCAGAACATCACAAGTTGCTTACAGATAACTTGTTTAATAATAACTGCGTTAAATATATGAGCCATAAGTGCATCTTCTACATCTTTCATAGCCACAATTAAGTCATTAAGGATCTCACAATATCTTAGTGATGTGAAGCAAAATAATTTTTAAGATTGATATAACCTATGTAACAGGTGTAGTAGTTGTACGACACAGCCGCCAGCTACTAATCGACATAAATCTGGTACTAATTTTAAGTACTCTGACATTTGAGAAGGACTATTTATACTATTCTTCCAGACACAATGAACACTGATGTCAATATACTCTGATGCCATTTCATGCACTGAGCAATTAAGGCCTTGTGAAATTCCATGTGCAAATGTCAATTAAACTATTTTCACATCTTCGCCCAAGCACTTTTAACTAGGAACTTCATCAAAATAGATATAATCACCAGGAAATTCAGCAGCCTGTCTCATTCATCGCATAATGTCGTCAATGTGTTATGGAATATTTCAGTCATCCCGGATGATAACAGAAAAGTTTAACATGTTCAAAGCACACATCTAACCTATGCCTGCATGCTATTTATCTTTCATAGGCCAGATTCTAATAGATTCACTGGAATGACAACAGCCATTGACTGCAGTATATTTACAACCTTAAGATCTGAAACAACTCGAAAAAAAACAAACCCTCAACGCACTATAATGCAAATAATAGTCTTTCTATGCGAACTTTCTTAAAAAGGATGACTTCTTCATTGATAATTCGTCCGAGCTATAATATACAATTTTACGCTCTACTAAGAACAAAATACAGCAAAATACTGCCATCCGGCTACATAAGTCTAAAACTAGTCAAATATAATCTATTTCCAAAAAAATAGGTGATTATAACGTCTGTTGACGTGAGCGCGGTAACCGATGGCATTGCGCGATAACACCTGGTGTCGGCCTATATCCTCACTCCGAATACAGTCCGCCATGCAGACACAAATGGCGCAAATGGAGAATTCTGGAATCGACCTCGGCACCATTTGATGCAGTAAAACAACTTAGCATGACCTTATCTAGTTTTCGCCTCCACGATCAAATTTCTTTCCTGTTATGAAACTACGATAAGACTGCTGAAAAGTGGAATAAATATATCACTGATCTCAACATAATACATCAATAATCTTTAAGCCAAGGGTGCTGTTCACAACAAAGTTATACAGGAGAATTGACTTCAAGCTTTATTTTTCCCAGATATCCGTATTACATTCATGTGATGTCTGGGTTTTTTGTTAATGCGAAGGCAATATTTCTATATCTCTTTATGTGCTACACAAACAGACTTTATAGCAGACTGTTCCGACTGACTCTAACGACAGAAAGAAAAACCAAACTGTATATCCATTATACATCAAATCATGTGTAATTTATATAACAACTTATCCATGCCTGTACAGTAGGTATATTCCTGCATAAACGGGGAGAAATATATTATTATTAAAACAATATTTATGCATGCCTATACAATTGGTGTATCCTACATAGCTAGGAAAAAATGTACCTTCTTATATTATCTTTACTAAATATGCTTATTAATATTATGTGTAACCTATCGAATTGATCATGCCTGTAAACTGGCGTCCCTCATGTAAAAAATGAGAATATATATTATTATATATGTATATATATATACCAACTTCAAATTTCATTAGCTGTCTGTTGTAACGTTTTCTTTATTTCTTTTTCTCTTTTGCTCAGGATAACCTACAGTAATTATATTTCCTATTATTATCTCTCTTCTTTTATCGACGACACCGAAAAACTACCTGGTGAAAGGATCAACTTAGTTCACAGTGGCAACACAGTATTAACACAGAGCATACTACAAAAAATGCAATTAATCCGAACACCAATCCTCATGGTGTCAACCAAAGCTTCTTTTGTGTGACGAAAGAGTTCAACTGATAAGTAGATTGCTAGCAACTCTATCAAGGACAGAACACCTTTTTTCCATGAGAATTAGCCATTCAGAAAGGGATGCTGTGGATTTCCACTTATTGTCAGCCAGCTGGTTTGGTACTGTTGTCACAATCTTTTCGGACGCGTCTAACGGTAATGCAAGAGAAGCAGCTGGATCAGAGCATTTTAGGGCTGCGGTTTCCCCTAGCGCTTATTTTGGCTGTGCGATTGCATAGGGTTCCTCCTCTGACATCTGAAAGGCCCTCGGTTTCCCACTTAATGCATCAGTTAGGGGTTTTACGTACTGTGTACAATTAGGAATAGAGCTTCGATAGTTGATCGCCCCAGAAAACTGCAGAGTTGCATGGGAAAGGTAGGTAGGGGGCACTTCTTAATAGAATTTACCGCTGTGGGCATCGCTGCGATTCCAGACTTGCCCTAAGAATTCTAAATTTCTTATTCTCAAGAGCGTATTTATTTTGATTAGTTGTCTCTCGGTTTTCATATTAGTTCTTGAGCATGGCCTCCATGACTTACCGTGATACAGAAAGCAGCTTCCTTACTAGCTGAAAGTGATAGCAGAAGTACAGCAAACATTCGTGTGTTTTGTAAGTACCCTGCAGAAAAAAAGTGAGGGAAAACCCTGTCAAACATACTGAAGGGCTTTCACTATTCACTACTTTCAGAAAGGGGAAGAGTGACTTACAGATTAATTCAACTCATCCATCATCAAACATGATTATTATATTTGCTGTCGATATTGAATGCACCAGTAAAAATTATCTGAGGCCATGGCAGCATTCTTTTCCAAGACTTATCTTGGCATTTTTAATTAACAACTGCCTTCTTGTTGGGACAGCGTTGTTTACCTGTTAATCCCATCTTCCAAAGACCATTTTGGTCTGAGTGATGTACCCGATCCATTGTGTTTGTACACGTTTGTTAGCGACTGGTTTTGTCAATAAGATTTTGGCTGATGCCAAATAAAAATCCACTCACCGGTTAGCAAAGGCCAAGGTTATATAACATCACCACATATACTGTGGATAGCTGGTGAGCAAACTGTCCCGCGTAGGTCATAGAAGTATCAAAGGTCAATTTGCAAGGGTGGTTATCCATCTGACCCATTACAGATTACTAAAAGCCTGTCCATATGCCATAAAAGGTAAAAGTCACAGAATCATACTTATTTTACTGAAATGAGAAAGTAACTTCCCACCCAAGCAATGAGTTTTGTTTAAGTCAACTCTCACTAATATTATCCGTTTTTGACGGTGCTTGTTTCCATTGTAAGGTCGATTGGTAGTTATTACTTATTTGGTTGTTTCTAGGTTGATTTAATTGTACATATTGTACATAGACATTATGGACAGTAGGGTTAATTGCAAAGAGCAGGCTCCTAAGGTTACCAACCATGAATTTGTGGGGAATGAACACACTAGTTATCTCTCCAAAATGCCAGCTGCAACAGTTGAACAACTCACCATAGCTAAAATATTATCAAAGCCTGATACTGATGTAAATCTTCGAAGCTACGTTGCCCAGGTAAGACCAATATATTGTCATCCAAAAATTGCAGCTTCAAGAGTTAACAAAATGTTCAGAAGACCAGGCAGTCACAGCATTGTATGACTGTGAAAATGACATTGAAAGAGCTGTTGAGTTGGTCCTTGATAAATTCCGCTGCGGTGCAGAAGAGGAGTGGCGCACAACTGTCAGCAAACGAGCCAAAGCCAAGCATTCACAAACAGTGAGCATGTGAACCTTTTTAAATAATACATTAGGTAACTGATGTGACACCTGAAACTGCCGCACCCCCCAAAAAAGCTAGTCGACCCAAAGTTGAAAAGCTTCCTGAAAATGCTGAGAAGACTGTTAAGCAGAATGGTCCTGTGCCGTCTCAGACTAGTGTTACTAAGGTACTCATAATAAGCTCATAATTTTTCAGAGTTCCCCGGTAAGCCATGAAATAACAAGACGGACGAGTAACAAGAAGAAGGCTCCTTCGAAATTAAATGCAGCTGCAAGTGAAAGACAAGGTGAATCACAAAATGAGCGTGATGGTGGTGTAGTGTGCAATAACTCAAAGCAATTACCATCGGAAAGAAAACCTAAAAATGAATCCGAAGGTACCTGGAACCATTTATACAACTTATTTTTAGTTTGGGATCCTTATGCAGATCTTGGTGAGTGGGAAGGCGAGTCCATAGAGATAGTTAACTCTAATGCATCCATTGCCATGGGACTACAGGATGCAGTTTCTTTACCTCCGGAACTCTTTCACGAAACATCAAATCCTGAAAAGTAGGACCATTATTTAATGTTTTATTCAAATTTCAGGGATTCAAATTTAGAGTCAGACGTGCATGTTGATACTGTCCAAAACCTGACTAAAGATCCAGAGGCTTTGGATGCAGACGCGTTATTTGCAACAACTGCTAGAAGCAAGCCACCTCCACGTGCTTTCACCGGAAAATTGGATGTTCCCTTATTTATTGCTCCAGAGCTACTACCTAGTAGTCACTTCAGCTGGAAACCGACTTTCGGTGGTGATTCGCCTGCTCCTAAATTTAGCCCTGTTGCACCTACACTTCCGAATTCAGGAAGAATCAGTAATGAGGCGGACGAGCTGCTTCGTGAACCAAGTGACCCCCGTACTCCAAGAGTACCAGTCGAACAGGTGGACTGCAGTCCCAAGCAATATACATTCCCTCAGATATCCCAGCAGTCGCACACTAATGATTTCGAACTAAAAAATGCATCCCTTGGTGTTTTACTGGAACCTACGAAAACTGAGGAGAAAATGGGTAACATAACAAGTGAATACTCACCGCACCAATATAGTGAGCAGATGATATCCGAAGTCTCAATATCATATCCAATTAATCAAAAGAAGCAAACGCCACCTATGGTCACCAGGACTGCTAGTGACAAGCCCAGCTACTTAGAACCTTCCATCAAAAATTATCTACTTGATTCGCTGCCGGATGGTATAAGCAAGCTCAATGTTGGAGATGTTTCAGGTCAAAATACTAAAGACCAGTTTCCTGTTCAGAACAACACTCAGGCATCACTTCCATCTTTCCCCCATGGTCAGAGCGATCAGTCTATTATTCCTCCACAGTTGAATAAAGTACCTGTTTCACATCCAAATACACATGTTTCCGGACATACCCAGCCAATGAATGCCAATACTCAGGCAGCTCATCTTCCTCCGGGTATGCCTCACTTTATCAGTCAGTTCGCTCCTCCTGCCGCTTATCATATGTTCAATCTGCCCGGTGGTTCTAACACAGCACCTGCTATCTTCGATCTTGATCACTTGCAGTTGTTGCAACAACAGAGGATGTTATATGATATTCATTTACAACATCATGCTGCCACTACAGCTCAGAGTATGTTAACCCCAAATGCAGATGCTGCCTCAGCAAAAACAATCAATCATAGTTTGACAAATCCGATGGCTCATGTAACCGCTGCAAATACGGGCATACGCCCGGATATGCTGACGACTGCATTAAGTCACACTCCACAGATGATGACTCCTGGACATCCTTACTTCCCCTACTCTGGTTTTGTACTGATGGTAAGTTCTGTGGTAATGATTCCTCTGAAGAATTTGATGTACACTTCTGTAATCTATTACAAATTCTCATATTGGCAGTGAAATGTTTTGTCGGTTTAAGTTGCCAGGGTCTTAGACATCTTGTAGTTATTTCACACAACTGCACGTATAGTTTCAAAAAATGCTTTGACTGATTTCAACATGTTTATAATACCAGGTGGGAACTCATTCGGAACAGTAATTTCATATACCGTACAGTGAGATGTTATGGGGTCTAGTGGTACTACCCATCTGCTCGGGCTGAGCAAGTTCAAGTGAGTTCGGAGTCTTGGGTGTCCGGTACTTAAGCCTGTTTTCCTGTCTTACATGCTTATCTCTAAATCTAAGTATCCACTTTTGGTCCACATGTTGATTTCACTGTGTTCTAGATTGCTAAAATGTGGGAGTTAACCTTTTTGGTTCAAGAATGTTTGTTAAATGGTCTGTAAATGTTCCTGGTCGACATTGTTTCCTTAGGTTTCTAGTACAGCATTGGGCTTCAACCGCATTACTCCATTTCTTTGTGTTCTGTGAAGTCTTTAAATGACTCCACGACTACCTTAAATCTGTCACTTCCTTTTTAGTGATTTCCATGTCACCCATTCGGGTTCTACTTAAGGGCCTGGCGTGTGATGTAAACAGTCTGCTCAAGAATATTCAATCCACCTCCATTTCCTTTCGCATATGGTGGGATAGGTTTTTGGTTAGTATCTTTCCAGAGCTCCTTCTTTGCCCACTTCAATCATGTGATCTTCAGTGTTAGGAAAAAGCAGTTGTTGATTAGGGTCTGCAGTAGCCTGTTAGGGATGCTTTTTGTGATGCTATAAACCTCTTAATCGTATAGTAGCGATTAAATGCCGTTAGCTCAAGAAAATCGGATCTTGGTGCTAAGATCTGTGAATTTCAATACTGATTTCAGATCAATTAAAGTATATTCTCAATCTTGGTTGGCTTTGGCATCCTCGTCAGTGCTGCCTGTAGCTGAAATGTTTCTGTCAAAGCAAGTGTACGAGGCTTATATTTTTCCCAATAGTATTTGGTGCTTGCTGTTGTTAAAGTATCTTCACCACCCCTACCTTCCCTGTGTGAATTCCTGTGTGTCATTAGACATAAGATATTCTAGACGTCTCTTATCGGTCTGACGTATGCCTGTCTCCTGGCTGCCCGCGGTATGTTGCAACACTTAATCCGCCGCTTTCATGAATATCGGTGATGACAGATTGCTTTGTGTTTCTCTTATATTCAGAGGTTTCACTGGACTCAGTTTTGGATGACAGGGCATATGACATCGTTGTGCACCTGTTGAATGAGGTTTATAAAGATTTGCGGCATTGCACTTCATGGTGTTGAAGCAGTTTCCAAACTGCTTCGCTGTCGAAAACCTTTTCAGTTAGTGAAGTTTAAGTCGAAACATGAGTCATTCAAAGTGAGCAACCCGATGTTTCCTTAATTTCTTCTTTTTCTCATTTGGCTTTCATTCACTGTCTTTCATTACCTCCATTTGCGTTAATTTCTTCCCTCAGATAGACCTGGTTTTCTAGTGAAGATTTCTGAGGTCTCTTACCTGCAACGTATTTCAGTTTCCAGTGCATTGTCTTTTATCTTCGCTAAGGATCTTCAATGAACTCAGCTTCTCTCGTTATTCATCTCTGCACTAGTTTGTTTTCTGTTTAACCATCCATTTCATTCCTCGTCTTTCCTCTGCATTCCTTGGATTGCTATACAGGTTTCCTTCACCAATGTATTTCCACACAGATTTCCTCGGTGGTATTATATACTCATCAAGATTGTGGAGCTAAATCGATTGAGATGGCTAGAACACGTGTTACTCATGTCGATCCACTACTCTCCTCAACGGGCACTGTTAGCTGGATGGGAAAGGGTTCGGAGTGGTCAAACGAAGCCTGGCATTTTCCAATGAGAGCTGTGGCAGATGTTTTGTGCCACGTAGAGGGTGTAGACTGCCTTGCTGGGGTCCTTAAGATGCCAAGATCCATTGACTTGCGATTGCTGGTTACGTAGATCAAAATCGTTTTCAGTGATGCAACTGTATTGACTCTATGTAATTTCACAGAGCCTCATGTTTCTCCATATTGCTGTGGTTATTTTGAATATCTTTCTCTAATCTACGCATGTTACATGGAGTGGCAACTTCAACTACTGTATTTGGTGCAAAGTTCTTTTTGAAACGCAGTCAGTTAGCCTCATCCTGTCTCTATGTTTTCACTGATGACTACCGTGGTGTCCCATGTGGTTTTGTTCTCCAATTTCTGAGTTTCGAACTTGAATTGTGGTCTGTCTCCAGTTTGAATTTTGTATCTAGCAGGATGCGTCTACAGTTTCTTGAGATTGAATTGGAGTTTGTATGATTTTTGGTATCCATCCGGTAAAATTCACATCGCCTTGTGTGTATCCTTGTAGTTGTACGCAGTTTGCAGTCACTGAATCACTAAAAGTGCTAAGTTGTATAAGAGGTTCTGCCTTCTCATTGATTTCACCGAACGCTTCCCTACCCGTGATTAGTTCTCTTCCCGTATTGTCTGCCCCCATCAGAATTTCGATGTCTTTCTCCTCCTGATCTGTGTTGTTTTTGGTAGTGTAGCATAGGGTGATTATAGCTTTCCTACCTTTTTATTCGCATTTTGCTGTCATTCTACTGGGAAGATTGGTTCTCACTGTATAGGAGTCTTCGATTCATGTTACCTGCTAGATGCAAACACCTTACTACTTTTACACCAGTCAACAAGCACTACTTATTCGCTGTCGGATCTCCTCGACACAACAGGCAACTTTATGTCGACCGGCTTTATTCTTTCATCTAACCGACGTTTCTGGCGTAGTACGACCTAGAGGGACACTTGTCCAAGCTATTGTAACTTGTTGGCGGTATACAAGCCCAACCATCAATTTGGTGTAATAATTATCTGTCACTGGCTTTATTGTGGGTAGCATTCAAAAGTCGCAGCCGGAATCATTCCCTCTATTCATGCATTACGCGTTTAGCCATAACTGGGCGTAAATGTAAACTTAGTGTCGATAGTTCAGTTTTTGACTCTGTGGATTTACACTAACAGAATTGGTTTTAAGTCAAATGAACTGTCGTACAATCAGCTAACAATAGTGTCTTCATTTTCTATGAGCAGTTCTGCTGATTATTCTCACTTCTGTGGGTTCAATTCGCAAACCAGGTTACAGTGTTCGGTGGCAGTCAGCTAGAAAGGGCGTGACAAAACTCAAAATACCTACGAATTAGGCTGAAAATAATATAAGAGTTGCTTTTTCTTAAAAATGTGTTATATGTCACCTATCCTACAAACATACCTTTTAGGCAATATATGTGTAAAACTTGGGCCCTGTGGTAGTAGATAATTCCGTATTAGTTTGTTTATTAGATGCATCAAACAGTGAAACAGTATTATTTACGTTTCGAACAAAATTTGTTGTTCACAATCATATCAGTTGGTGACATGTTTAAAAAATAAAGCATAAAAGTTAAGTAGTACCAAGGAAAATCTAAGACAAGAAATGAGGCAGTTAAGAGAAGCTTCGAAAATCAATGATTACCCTGATAAATTAGTCAAAGTATGTAGGCAAATGTAAAAATAAATAGTGATAGCAGTGGTAGTGATAATAATGGTAATAGTAATATTAATGGCCTCATGCATGTCAAACATGCACAGGTTAATGACAACACCAACAACAGGGAATCTAAATCAGTAGTAATTCCATCCAAGGAAGGAACCTCGGAAGCCTTACGCAGAATTTTCGACAAGGCAGGAATAAAAGTGGCTGGCATTCAAACTCACAAACTCAATTAGAAACAAGCTTTGACGGTTAAAGGATTCTGTGGGGCCTTTGAAATAAAACAATTTAGCTTATATAATGCCCAGCTGGAATGATTGTCACGTCGAACACATAGGTCAGAGTAGAAGAACGGGGGCACTCACACTAGCGGAGCATAAAAACCTAGGGAAATGTAGATTAGTTGACCCGAATAAGATTAGAAATCTAGAGAACAGTTCAGCTATAGCACTACCAATACTCTTTGGAATCAAGCTGTTACCAAAAATAAAAAAATAAAAAAAGAATACATGCAATTACACAACCATACAATAGGGTGGTATGGTATGACAGTTTTAAAATCTAATTCAATAGGAGAGTGGAGGGAGAAATTAATGACAGAGGCTTTGTTTATCGAGTCAACTGCAAACACATGTGGTAGGAATGATTCAGCACCTATCCAGTCGGATTTCTGAAAAATTCTACTACCCCTACGGCGAAAAATAGGAGAGAACAAAGAAAACTATAAAACTCAAGTTTTGAAGTCGTGTGATTACAATTGATATGATTATGAACAATAAATTGTTCGAAACGTCATCCAGTAAATAATACTGTTTCACTGCATGATACATCTAATAAACAAACCAATATGTCTGTTAAGCACATTGAATTCATGAAAAATTATATGCCAACGATCAAGCGCGGTTGATGTTGCCTTTTAGTTATTCTTACGGGGATATGGGTATTTTGATCCACCTGCTGTATACTGGCAGCCTGAGAGCAAATAAGTACTGCTTGATGAGAGGGGTTAAAAAAGTGATAAGGTGCTTGCGTCTGTCAGGCAACATGCTAGCTACTCTACATTTTCGCGTATGCGATTACTGTCTTTACGGTGGTTTGTGGCGTGTCGAGTCTTCTGTTCGGACTAAACACCTCCAGATAGCTCCTGTGACGAGCTGGAAGACCTTATTCAATGGGCTCCTCAGTTAGGTAGTAGATCGTTTTGAGAGTGGCTCAGGCGTTCGGAAGGTAGCAGTTTCTCATTCCCACTAACATTAAATCGTATTCATCACCAGATTTCGTATAGTTGTTCTCTGACTGACTACCAATACTCCTTGAACAGGTTTTCCCCATTCTCACCGCCGTCCAACACTTCTCAAGCGAAGATGATGAGATATCCACTGTTCCCAATTTTGTTTAGTTTCAGCAAAGATGTTCTGATGAATAAGCAACTTGAGCAACTCACGGGGTGACTTGTTACCAGAGGAAAGCCTTGTTAAGTATGCGGATGATGTCTTGCTAAGCGAAGACGATGATAAAATGCAGAGGCTTCTGAACACATTGACTATGTTTCGCATGCGATTCGCCAGTGTCAAATGCAACATAGTGCTGCAGTTCTATGCCGCATCGACTCCTAAATTATCGACATGAAGTTGAGTATTCTAGTGTGCTGTACACTTCACTAATTTAAGTTGTATCAGTCCTAGCAGACTGATTGTTGACAAAATTCTAGTATGGATACAAGAGACTCGCATTTCAGTAACCAATTTGTGTAATATTTGATGTAGAGTTGGTTTGTAGTACTAAACGACAGTTCTGTGTCCTTTATGGCTATAAAACGGCCATTGAAGAGGAGAGACCTGAAGAGGCTAGCCATTTTGGACCATAGATGTTTGCGACCCATCTACCATGTTGATTGGTATTGATGATGAAATAATATTGAGCCAGTCAGTCAATGAGATGGCAAAGCTTCACTGGTCAAATGACAGGAGAAAGGATACACATTTTGAGCCGTAGTGTGAGGTTAATAGAGTAAGTCATTCTATGAGGTTCGGGAGCTATATCGTTTGACATGGTTAGAACATATGTCGAACAAGTCAAGTCATCGCCATCTTCTTCAAAAAATGTAAGGTGAACTAAAATTAGTCAAGGGTGGTCAAACCAAAACTTGGAATAAGTCTATGCAGACTTTGGCTATCGATTTGTGCTACATGATGAAGAATGGCTTTCTCCGTTCCTCGAGAAACCAGGGTTCATTGGCTTGAGATTGTTAGCGAAATGACTCAAAATTGTTCCCAGTACCTCAGATGCATTCACTTTTTGTGATTTTGCAAATGCATTGAAGCTTCATTTCCCATGTAACTATTCTTTCTCCTGTATATTTCCGTTACAATGGTTTCTTTATATTCCTTTATATTTTTCCACCTCTATGTAATTTTTAGTGCTGTGTGACAACTTAAACTGTCGAACTTTTAAGTTCTACGTTGAGAGTGAAGCTCACATGTATTTGCTGTTTTCTTATGGATTCACATAACTGTCACGATAGTTCATGCTATGATTGTTTCTGCCGTACGTTTTTGTTCATAGTGGTTTCAGTATATTTATCCACTTATTTGTTGAATCCCATGAAATTCTTTTTAAAAAACACAATATATACTAATGATCTAAATCGTTCATTATAAACTTATTTTCTCTCTAGAATGGTTATCCGAATCCATTTTTAAACCAGCAACAGCCTAATTCCGACGGTTCTCAAGTTCAAAATCCTGGTCAGTGTGCTTCACCGATTACTCAGCATCAGCCTCAAACAAATCAAACACAACCTTACAACAGTCTTAAACAGTTGCAGAGTGGTGTAGGAAATTACGAAGATCTTCTGGATGTGAAGTATGGTGATCCATCTAAACAAGGTTTGTTGTATATTAACGTAGTTTCCTCGCAGTACTTTAAGTATGCCTGATGTTAAAAAACAAACAATTTGCTTGTTTATTAATGTAAGTGTAAAACTTGGGCACTGTGGAAGAATGTAATTCCATATTAGATAAGTTTACCTTAAGAGTCACACACTGCATCACTGTGTGATTATTAAAATAAACTTATCTAATATGGAATTTGTTTATTTCGCTACGATGCCTGTTTAGATTTATTCAGCGTATTGGTCGATATCAAGGTCTGTTTTGTTTAGATGCGCAAATAATAGTTAATTCCGCTTTCTTGAATCGGTGACTTGATATCAGAACGTGAAAGTATCAAGTCATCCTCACTAACCCGTTTTTTGTATGCGTAGTGCATATTGCTTAGATAAGTAAACAGTGATTATTCTAGCGCTTGTCAGTTAACTGACTGGCCTGTAACTATATTGACTAAATGACTGGATTCAGCATAGAAGTGCAGCAAGTCGAGTTCCCACACTCCATGTAGCACACACAAAAGTAGACAAAAGAGAGAAAAAATGTGAAGGAGAAAGAATAGGAACATGAGAATATGTGGGTTTTATTAGATATAGGGGGTCATAAAGCGGATTTATCTGTGCCATTGAGAACGTTTTTGAGCAACACCACCATATCTCCAGCCATTGATTATTAAAATCCTGAGGAGCCCAACTAGGCAGATAGTCTACATCTAACTGTTAAAGACTTCATGAACTGCTGCTCTGTGTTTGTTTGATCACCACTAGCTCGATTCCAATGTGATCCTATGTTACTTAGCATTGCTCGTCGACAAAGGCTATGACTAGGTCTGCGTAACATGTCGTAGGTCACGTGCTGCGCATGCCTAACCATCACCTCCTCCGACTGGCATTACTAGCTGATACATGTGCAGGTTGGAAAAGAGTAAGTGGCAGCCTAACAAAAACCTGACATCAATCCATGAAATCCTTGACAGTTAAACTGAGTCAGGTAGGGAGATGCAGACTTCCGGGTTGGGGCCCTCGGGACTGACTCTAGGAATCAATGGCTGGAGACAATAGGTGACATGGCTCAAAATCGTTGTCAATGGCCAGCGCAGATGTATTCAGATTGTTCCCGTAAAAGTTTGTGTGTTGCGAAATAAATCAAATGATGTCTATTTACTTTGGGTGGTCAATTTTGGTAACTTTGCAAGCCGAGGACGGGTGTTTGAACTACATTTAAACTGCTGAACCTAGATAAGAAGAAATTAAGTCAATGAAAAAAAATGCAATTATAGTATACGAAGTATCTTTTAGCTTTCTATGTCGACCAAACTTTTCAAGATTGAATAAACGATTAATTAAAGCTTATTTTAAAAAGGTTATAAAAAGTTCGGGATCATGAAGTGTTGTTCGTGCTAAGGATGATCGAAACAGCTTTTCCTTTTTGAAGCCCACTATGGACAAATAAAAAAGAAGCATTGATAACAAAATCCATAAGAGGATATACCATAACTGTCAATATCATGTTGTGTCGGTGGCACAGCGGTTAAGACGCTCGCCGACCGTGCACATGGTCCGAGGTTCGATCCCCGGCTGACGCACTCCTTTACCTCACTAAGTCAGTAAATAAAATAGCTGGTAAAGAGGGAAGGTTGGGCATGATGTTAGCAACCCCATCCTGTAAAAATAAACACTGCTGCAGAAACTTCAATCCTCTAGCTTGAAGTCCTGTGTTCCCATGGGAACGTGAAGGAACAAAATAAAACAAGTCAGTATCATGTAACATAAATATGGAAGCAAAAGGACTAACTACATTTTGAAGAAGTATTGTTTGACTGACTTGTTTCAATGTAGAACTTTACACAGATGTGCAGCAGTTCAGTTTACCAAACACCGTGTAGGTATGATGGTTATATGCCAATGTGTGGATGGTGTGGTGAGCATTTATGACCAAAATTAAAACTTGACGCTGGGCGGTTTTTTATTCCTTTGTGTTCTCACTGGGACATTGGGCTTCAAACTAGAGCTTTGGAGTTCAAGTAACAGTGGTTAGTTTTTATAGGGTGGGGTTGCTAGCCTCACATCCAACCTTCACTCTTTATCAGATTTACTACCGGCTTAGCAAGGTTTAGAAGTGCGATTTCGCGCGTTGCTAATACACTTATAATATGATATTTAGATTATGGGACTGGGGATTTGCATTTATTTCTATGTAGAAATATACACTAAAATAAATCCACATCCCTACAAAGTCCCATAATCTAAATGTCAATCTCTAGTTCATCGCTGGCCATGAGATAGTTTTCCTGAAACTGTACTGAGTTGTGATCAGTTGGGTTCACCATGTCATGGCGAATTGTGTACTCATTGAAGGCATTACTTTAGAGCAGCACTCTACCACCCATTGATATAGCTAGAATTCACGGACCATTGAATTACGGCCTAACTGATTTGAATAGTCAACGAGTTTGGTCTTGTTACTCAAAGGTCCCGGATTCGATCCCCTGTTGGGTGAGGTCGGGGGTGCTCATCACGGAAAAGTTCCACGCTTGGACAAAATGGATGTTCCGCGCTCCCTCGTTTCAAATGACCTCCAACTGATGTCGGTACGCGACGAAATATGCACTTTTGAGATGCAGTAAATTGACTTACTCATTTTCGTCGGCTGACGAATGTCGCATGCAGATGGTTCAGGTCAGTTTGCTGTCTTTTGAGAAGGTATACAAAAGATAGAAGAAATGCAGTGAAACTAAAGTAAACGAAGATGAATTATGAAGGCCAATAAGGGGTATCAGTATGTAGAAGATGACAGGAAATGACATCTTTACCACTTGGGTGATTTCAGTTCATGTCACGTATAATCAACTATTGACTTTCATCAGCAGGCCCCTCTTAAGTTACTTATTGGGGGTTGGCATATATTTTGATATATTGCTCACAGTACCTAATAAAGATCTTTTTGACAGAAGTTGTTGAATTGTCTTAATGACTTTTTACTTACCCTTCTTTGCTTGGCTTATTATTGGCTAAGCCAGGTTTAGGATTGCCTCGGTTGAGCATTGTATTCGAACCACGTTCTTGGATGGCTAGCATTCTACCATTCAACCGCCAAAGTACTGCATGTTTCAAACCAACTTTATAGGTGTGTTCCTGAAGCTGTAAACTAATTAGTCTCTTTAATTTTTTTGTATTTCAGTAGGTTTCAAAACTAATTCGAACCAGCCTGGTTACGGTTCATTTCAATCCCAGGGAATGTCATTAGATAATGTCAGTGGAAAACTGTCTTCTTCGCATTCTAATAATGGATCACTAGTTCAAAACTTCAATCATGGAAGTAGCAATTCTCATGCACCACCGCACTTTTCGCCACAGTTCTACGCTTCTGTTTCTGCTTCACCATATATGAATACAGTAGCCGCTGTCGTAGCCGCGGCAGCTGCTAAGCACGGAACAAATAACAGTTCTACAGGCAATGCCAACCAGTCTAATCCAAATGTTGGTGTTACTGGAGGCCAGACTGGTGGCACAGGTGCTGGACAAAATCAGATTCACTTGCCTGGAAATCCATCTCAAGGAATGGTTTTGAGTAATGCAGGAGCATCTCTACATCATCACCAGCGTGCTCAAATCCCACATCCACAGCATTAATTCCAGATGAACAATTGTTGAAGTGCGATTTCGTCAAACTAGTTGTTCTTCACCCATATTGCGTTGGTGTTAACCTTTATATACATATATATATCCGAGACTGTTTACTGTGAGAATTGATAAGTGTGTCAGATTGTCCATAAAATGATTTTCCGTCCAATTCATATTAAAAAGTAGCCGAAACATTGCCCTCTTTAGGTTTTTGTGGCATGTATTGTAAATAGATAACAGCTTCACACAAGGATTATCATTACCGGAGTTTTCTGTTTTTTTTTCAAAAATTAAAATGTTGGTTTCTTTAATGCGCAGTACGCTTGCACATTAGGTATTCATCTAATTTCCTTTTTCTTACTGATTGATGTTCACATCGACACACGTATGTTTGCATATCTTTTCTTGAGCTTTCGTTTTTTTCTTTTGTATTCATTCTTTTAACCTTTGTTCAGCTTTGATCCTAGCAAAAATGTGTGGAGCATTGATCTGAAGTTGAAAATAAATTTATTATTTGACATACAATTGACTTTCTTATTGTTGTTGTTGTTGTCAGTCTTCAAATGGCAACTGGCCCTAATCATTATCATTCTCCATTTGTTTTAGGTAGGCAAAAAAAACATGAACAAAAATGATTCACATGAATGGCATCCGTATATTCGTCAGTATGGTTATTATGATCCAGTAACTGCTGGTAGTATAGACGGTACGGATACAATACCACATGACCGTGCGGTACATCGCGCTTTGTCTTCATCTTATAAGTCTAAATGCCAGATGTATAATTGGAATTCTAAGGTATACTTTACTATGGTTATCTGTTTTTGTTTGTTGATTTCCTAACATACGGTACTTATTAGTCCTTCAGATGTTGGTCCTTATGATCCCAACTGGTGTGTGTATTGCATCTTGCGGGAGTCAATTTTCTCTAAGGTCTACTTACCACCTACAAGTTAGCGTAAATAATAATGTTTGAGTGAGACATTTATGATTCTCAATTGGTTTATAGATGATGTATTAGGTATAATTTGTTTCCGTTCGTCAGAGACCTTTTACACTTTGTGTCCTTTCGAATTCCATGATCAATAGAATTATGAGATGATTTAATCCCTTTTAAGTCAGTGCAAGCCTTAAAGTTATACGAAGCAATTGTATCTTAAAAGATGAAGTACTTTTAAATTGACAGGACTCACCGGGCGATGAGTCACGCTTGTTCGACAGCTGATAATCTCATGGTTCTGTGGCTGGAATGGTAGATGGGGTAGTATTCGAACCTAGAAGTCAGATGCTGAAGCAAGCTGACAGGAAATACTATCCTTACTTTCTAAAATTCAGCGTCATAGCATGGACAAGTTTTGTAGTTGGGTCGCCTGTACTGCCGAAACATGTACTCACTTACTTCCCCAGGTGTTGTACGGACATTCTCTTTCCGTTCACGTAGGTCATTGATTGCATATCAGTTATCTTTGTGGAGTGACATTAACCATTATTTCTAAAACAATCTATATGACTCATTATATAGTCGGTATAAGTAAAAATAGCATAGTTTCTTCCTGTACCTGCTTTAAAATGTCCCGTCTATTCCGCAGATCTATCAGTGTAAATAAAGTCCTAATGGTGGTCAGTCGCGGTCCTAGTGGCTTACTGGTAGTCTCTTTGGTGTGGGTAGGGAATATCTGACTCACCTGACTAACTTTAGGGAAACTTATTTCACCCTCCTGTTGCCCAAAATGGCAGATTTCTCCAGTAGGCCTTATCTAAGACCTTTAGACTGAATTGTATTCGCAGTACATGATTGACGAACTTGCGGCTACACGCAAATTATTGAATTCAGTCTGCGCCACACCAAGGTCTAGATATCACATTGGTAACTACCTAATGACCAATCAAAATAACAGTCGCAATTATATTTAAGAAAGAATTCAGGTAATAGTGACCATGTTCTAGAGAATGTAATACGTAAAGTGCTGTGTGGTATGAATGGAAATGACTAACTGGAGATCAGAAAAAAGCGAAGGAAGCTGCATTTGCGTAATAGGCATGGAAAGTCATCTGGTCGATCTAAATGGACAAAAGCAAGTGGAGATACGGTAGTGTTTGTATGAAATCTGTTTGAGGAATGCAATATTATTAGCAAACAGTCGTAGTAATGTCGAAAATGTCATAGTCATAGTAAACTAAAATATCTAACAATAAAATGGAACAAAATTGTGGCAAGAATGTTACTCTGATCATAGTAAAGCAAGTGGTGGATGCTTGTTATGCTTTCAAAAGCAAAGGTTCGGTTTTGGATCGCGAATAGTCAGTGGTTCGGTTGGGCATAAATGGTGTATTTGAAGTGGGTTTGTGCGATATTGTGTAGCTCGGTGTGTCATTGTGAAACTAGCATGCAGTGTGCTCGAGGATGAAACTATGGTAATCCTCGAGCCCTTTGTCAACCCAGGATATCAGGCACGTCAGGATGCTAGCTTCACAATGAAACACCAAGTTACACAATATCGCACAAACCGACTTCAAATACGCCATTTATGCCTAACGGAACCACTGGCTATTTGGGATCTGAAACTTAACCTTCTCTTTTGAAGGCACTCACCTTACTATGATCAGAGTAAAGTTCCCGCTAAAAATTAGTTTCATGTTATTGTTTGACGTTTTTTTAGCTGCTATTAATACTGTTATGATTTCATAATTACTACTACTACTATCATTTTTTTTGTTTATTAATAACATGGCATTTTTCATATAGATTTTATGTAAATACTACCGTAATTCATACACTTGATTCTCTTGATGAATTTCGATAATTTAAAAATTCCCATAGTAATTATAGAACAGGCAAATACGTCTTTTCGGTTCATTCTTATCAGGCTTCAGATTTACATAGTGAAATATTAGTTGCAGGCATTTGAAATAATGTGGTCAATAAAATATAAGATCAGAGGTGTGAATTAATGGATAACAATCGAGGTGATCATAGTTATAATAATTATAATTAATCCCTTGGGTTCAGAGTGGAACATAGGGTTTCAATAGCACATCTCCATTTTGTTCTATTTTCTGCTATCCTCTTAATCTGGGCCGACGATTGACCATAATCTCTCATCTCCTCCATATCACCATCGGAAAACCCACTTGTCGCTTCCGATTCGCATTCCGCTAGAGGGCCTGGCGCGCGATGTCATTCGACGGCTTCCTCAACGCATGGTCAGTCCATCCTCATTTTCTACTACATATTTGTTGAGCAATTGGCTCTTGGTTGGTTTGTTCCCAGAGTTTCTTGTAACTAATTCTTTCTGGTCAGTTGCCGAGTCATTTGATCTTCAGTACGGAGCCACCAAAGGCAGTTGTTGATAAAAGTGTGCAACAGGCTGTTGGAAATCGTTTTCGTGACTGACACGCAGTGCAAGTTTCTGACCCGTATAGAATGACCAACTTGACACTGGTGTTGAAAATCTGAACCTTATTCTTTATACTGGCCGAGAGCAGTGCATAAGACTTTCAAACTGGTTTGAGGTTGATGAAGACGTATCTTGACTTTCCGATTCTGGCTGATTTTGACATCTCCATCCGTTCCGCCTGTAGTTGTGACGGAGGTAACCTCTCTCTCTTTGGTGGTGACTGATTCTGGTTATTGTTGCTGTTGGCTGGTTATCTCTATCACCTCCGTCTTCTGTATGTTCACCTGGAGTCCTGTTCTCACTACTCTCCTCTCCTCCCAGTTTGTTGGTTTTCACCAGCCTGTAAGTCTTCGAGTTTGTGTGACATTAGGCATATATTATCTACGAAATTCAAATCTTTCAGAGTCTTCTTATTGGTTTTCTAGCGTATTCTCTGTCTCCTCGCTCCCAACACACAGTTTGACTCATAATCCAGTCCACCACAATTAAGAATATCATCCGTGGTGATGATAGGTAGCATGCATGTCTTACTCCTGTATTTTCTTCGAACGCCTTTCTGAGTTTCCCGTTGTAGATCACCTGACATGTGCCACTGTCATATAGCTGGATGTTGAATGAAGTTGATAAAGACTTAAACATTGCATGCCGTAGGGTTTAGGCAGTTTCCCAATTACTCCGTGGTCAACTCTGTTTGTTGAAGGCCTTTCTGAAGTCGATGAAGTTGAATAATAATAATAATAATAATAATAATAATAATAATAATAATGATTTACTTTATTCCAAAAACAGTACTTGTGATACAGAATGGAATTTTCAGCATTAATGACAATATTGCATCTAATTTCCTCAAATTATAAATGGAATAATGTTTGACTGCCATGTAATGCTTTGTTGCGTGATGACTCGTAGAGTTGCGAATTGATCAGCACATGATTTGCCTTTCCTGAATCCAGCTTGTCGTGGTGGACGGAGTTCTACATCCAGTGTATTTCTTATTCTCTCCAGGATGATTCGACTTAGTATTTTGCTTGATGTGCGTTGTCAAGTGCATGATTTCACACCAGTTCTTGCACAGAGAGAGCATAGGAAGCACTGAAAACGGGCACAGAGACTGCGACAGGTGTTCTCACGCCATTATTGCAGAAGGTTCGGAGGGAAGGGAAGGTGCTCACTGATTGGAAGAAAGCCTGACTACCTTGTCAAGCTACTAAAGAAGGGCGACCTAGAGCTCTCTCTCTGTCTGGATTCAACATAGAACTGCTGCACTTCGGTGCCAAGTTCTATGTTGAATCCAGACAGAGAGAGAGCTCTAGGTCGCCCTTCTTTAGTAGCTTGACAAGGTAGTCAGGCTTTCTTCCAATCAGTGAGCACCTTCCCTTCCTTCCGAACCTTCTGCAATAATGGCGTGAGAACACCTGTCGCAGTCTCTGTGCCCGTTTTCAGTGCTTCGGGTTTGGGGAGGGGGAATTCCGTCTGGTCCTGTTGCTTCCCCGACTGGACTTCACTAGCATGATCGCATTCAAGATTCCTGCTTTCGTTGGAGGATTGGTGTCCACAGGCAACTAGTTCTGTTGCTGGTGGTGGGATTTCTGGGCGACTTGCAGGTGATGGTCGATTCAAGAGTCTTTTCAAGTGGTCAGTCCATTGTTTCCTTTGTTTCTCCTCCTTGGTAATCAGGTTCCCTTGAACATCTTTTATTAGTGTTATCATCTGGTTTGATCTGTTCCTGGATAACGAGTGACCTGGTTATCTGAAACAGTGTCCTGAGGTCTCTTGTACCTGCGGCCCACCTGCCTGTTCTGCTTCATTTGCTGGCCAGTGTAACGTAGAATTGTATTTTGTCTTTCCTAGAACTCTTCTTCCCGTCTTTCTTGATTCAGTGCAGTGTACATTAGACTCAGCTTCTCCTTTTACTGTCCATCTCTGCGCTGAGTCATCTTCTCTCTCACCAACCATTATCCTTTCTTGTATTAGCTTTTTCCAGGTAGGTGTCCGTTGAGGGCCATTCCTTGTCTTGTCTCTTCTTTCTTCCCAAAAGTAAGTTGCACAACTTAGTTCCAATGTTTTTCTGCACAGGTTTCGTCAGTGATGCCACATAGTTTCTCCGACTCTGTCTGTCTGTTTGTTTTCGACATAGAATTTTGCACAAATGTGCGGAAGTTCAAGTCGCCACACTCCGTGTAGCACGCGAAGCAAGAGAAGAAAGTACAAGAAAAGCATAATAGAGACAGTGAGCAGAGGTGTGAGACGAAGGAGGAGTAATAACGAAGAAAAAAACAGTTTCATTGGAGATCATAAGTCACAAGGAGTGGATGCATCTGCGCTGGCCACTGAGAACGATTTTGAGCCATGTCACCAATTGTTTCCAACCATAGATTTTTACCGTCCCGAGGACCCCAACCTGGAAGTCTACACCTTCCTACGTGGCTTAGACCAACTGTTGTAGATTTCATTGACTGGTGCCAAGTTTTTGTTTGACCACCGCTAGCTTTTTTCCAGTCTGACCCTATATCCGCTAACATTGCTCGTCGAGGGAGGCGATGGCTTGGCATACGTAACACATGTCCTAACCATCTCAGTCTTTGTAACTTCACGACTTCGTCGATTGATTTCCCCTGTTTACCTAGAACTCGACGCCTAACTTCAATGTTGCTCACCTTATTATGCCATTTCACACGGGAAATAGAACGCAGGCACCTATGATCAAAGACAGCTAGTCTTTTCATGTCTTCCACTCTCAGTGGCCAGGTCTCACAACCATAAAGGAGGACGGAGCGGACTGATGAGCAGTACACCCACCCTTTGGTCGATAGTCGAACATCTCGTCTACGCCAGAGTCGGCGTAAACTAACAAATGCGAAACGAGCCCCTTGTATTCGTGCTGAGATTTCGTCAGAGACCAACCCGTTGGGGCTGATGGTACTTCTCCGACTCTACTCTGATCTGATCCGTAGTGAAGGTATCCTTCGTAGTTTTGTTCTTCACTTTCTGAATTTTGAACGTGAATTATAGAGATATAAGAATAAAACTTGTGCACTGTGGTAGAGTATAATTCCATTAAGGGTAAATTTTTGTTTTGATAAAGTCTCACAGTAAACATTACTGTATAACACTGTGAGACTTTATCAAAACAAAAATTTACCCATAATGAATTACAGAGACCTGTGTCCATTTGTTTTGAGGGATTTTAGCTTCACCTTGAAGGTTGTTTGAACTGAATGGTGGTCTGATTCCACGTCTCCTCCCCTTCTCGATTTTTTGTCCAGTAAACTGGCTGCGTTTCTACTTCCTTGAGCTGCATTGAGATGAAGTATGTCTGGCTAGTGGTGTGTCCATCAGATAGAATCCATGTTGCTGGCCTTGTGTATATCCTTGTGTTTGTACACACTGTCTCCGATCACCAAGTCATTGAAAGCTCAGAAGTCTGCGAATAACTCTCTGCTTTCATTCATTTCTCCGACCGAGAGCCTCTCGACCCATGATGAGTTCTCTTCCTGTATTATCTGCTCCCAGTTCGATAGGCATTCGTATGATCTATGAGGATTTTGGTGTCGCCATTTGGGCTGTTGTCCACTACTATTTGTAGAAATCTTCCTTCTTCTCTTGTTCCGCGTTGTTTGTAGCACTTTGCGTGGCATTGGACAATTGTGACCTTCCAACCTTCCTTTTGAGTTGAATCTTGTTGTCATAATCGTGGAGGAGGAGATTGGTTCCCACTGCATTTGACTGCTTTGACTGCCACTAGTAACATCGATGTAGCCACTCACTGCCTCAGTGTGTTCATGGTTTTCTTCTGGGAAAGGAGAGCGGAGTAGATTACTGACTCTCCAGTTAACTATTTTGATAATCCACATCCATTGCTTCAGCTCTCGCAGATTCCCAGCACTTCTATGCCATATCTTCACATTTCTCCGGCTACGCGGGCATTTTACAGTTATCCAATGTCACTTGGATATAAGTATTTTAGGTTGGGGGCGAAGGCCAAGAGAGAGAGAGAGTTCGAACAGAATTTTTCTGAACACAGGGATTGGGTTGAAAACTCCTATGGCAACTGCCTCAACAGTGCTAAACAACCGAAGATATAATTATGTGTATCGAATCTTTTCTGCAATATAACTTCCAAAACAACAAAACTGAAGTGATAAGTGTGGGATTTTAAGAAACCGGTCACCACCAATGGGAGCTTTGTTTTAACTACAGGTGGCGGCACAGTTGAGGATGTCAAAGTAAACCAGCTAGAATCAGTAATAAAACAAGGTAGACCTTCATATATCGGAAGCCAGTGTGGAAATCTGATTCACTAAGTATAAATGAAGGGATATGGAATCTTTAATTATGATGTCAAGTCTATGCTTTTATATGGTTGAGAGACTTAGTGCATCACACTAAGCATTTCCGGCAGGCTACTGCAAACTTTCATCAACTCTTGCCTTCTCTGACTTGCTAATAAATATTAGATGTCAGACCAGGAAGGATAAACAGCAAGAAACTCTGCAGTCCAGTTAACTAGTGAAGAAGGTTTAGCCCAACAAATAAATAGTAAGTCTCAACCTATTTGTGTTCGGCTTCGCAATGGACGGGATCATAGATGGTAGTTGAAGATTTTAGAAAACAAATCAATTAATTAACCAGGCTGTAAGTAACAAATTGTGTGATGGCTTGTACTGCTACACGTTTACTCATGATGAAGTAGCTGGAGTGAGATTCGAAACCCATGACTTGTCGGTTAGGAAAGATGAGTGCTTAAGGTAATGGACCATATGTCTGATACTCCTCATGACCTTTCGCTTACTTATGATCTGTTTTTTATCATTGATGTAAGACTATGTGCAGCTACCGGTTGTTATATATTCAGTTTTGTTGTGCGTATTTTTGCATATGTTGGTGAGACTACCTGCGATAATCTTAGTTTAGTGAACTTACGTAATTCATACAATGATCAGGTGATTGAAATTATGCGTGTAGGCGGATGATGCTACCTACGCCGCCAAGGCTGATGCATTCTGTCGTGGCAATGTGGCTCCTTTGCTTTGTAACGACAGAAGATAAGGGCCAGTTAACAGATCGTTTATTGAGAATATCGAGAGACATTTATAGATTTTTATGTACATTATGATTCGTCATTGTTAGCAGGGAAGCATTTTCTTCTGATTAGTTGTTTTCCTGATGCAGGTAATTCTGTTATCTCTTTGTTGCCGTTTCTTAGACAGTCCGGTGATATATCTATGAATCGTATCCGCCCACGCTAAGTCTGCTGTGATTGGTTGTTGAGTTCCTCAAGGTCAGACCTTATTATTGTTTTATCTCGAGACCCCGATTCGGGACGTAAACATTGACGTAAATTTTAGCTGAAAGACAGCTCTCACTACAGCTTCTGCATTCGACTTTCAGTCAAAAGGTCCTGGGTTCGAATCCCGCTATAATAACTGGACAGTACTACCAGCTTTCACACAACGAGTGTGGCTCATAGCCTCGAATATGAAAGACTTATTCCGGGAACGGAGTTTTAGTCTGTTCGAATTCTGGACCCAACAGCTGAAAGTCAATTGCTACAGCTAGTTCTCTACATCCCCTACAATGTTCGACTAGTAGCCTCCTAAAGCGAAGGTAATGTACAATGTGTAGATGAGACAAAACTAAATTATTGATAAACAAACGCAAACTAACAGATCACTACTCATCGTTCAATTAACTAACACTGTCATTTCTACTTAAATATTAAGTCTTATTAAGATGGCTCATTGGCTTAAGGCGTTTTGAGACTTCCACCAAATGTGTGCAGGCCTCGAAGCTAGTTTCATCTGCCTCATTCAGGCTAAAAAACTGGTTAGTATCTTCAACACTCACCTATTGTGTGACATAGCTTGACATATGACAGATCTGATTGGAGTAACAGACTTGATCAATACGATTTATAATTTCAGTGTAGTGGTGTTCTCTGAGCTGGATGGTTTAATTGAAAAGCCTTCATGGTCTTACTAGACAACATCTTCAGCGCATACTTCAATTTGAAGTGAGCTTTTAAAGTTCCCCATGAGTTTATTAGTCATCTCTCCTGGTAATCTTGAACGTGATTGGTTGTTTTTGCGTATTTTCTCACCTTTTCTATTTGTATTGAAATTGATTGTTTCCTTGACCTGAAGTTTGTCTTTATGTTCATGTGATTTTCCTCCTATGGATTGATGGGTCTTGTCTATGTCAATGTGTCCACTGATTACTAATTCACTTGAATACCAGGCTTCTGGAAAATCTTCGGTATTCTCGGTGTTTCTTCTCTCTGTCTAATATTTTAACATTGTCCCAGTCGAATCGGTGTCCAGGGTTGATATGTATCCACATAATATGTGTGTTTGTTTTGACAGTCTGTTATAATTTGCTATGTATATATGGATCGATATTCATTTATAATTGACAATATGTTTTTGTCTGTCCACTAACTAAACAAACATGTCTGACCTTGTTGTCACATGACATTACAACCAATCATGTTAAGACTGTCTATTGATTCGTTCATTTTTGAACATTCGCTCAGACACTTGTGTGACATTGATTTTTCGTTGTTTGAAAAATACAAGTATCATCGTGAACCTAGTGGTTTTCTGATTTCCGCCTTCTTGCGTCGGGACTATTAATTACTCGACCAGTACATAACGAAGGTCGTCTTTATGCAATGATTTGAAGGAGTGGATATCGTGTCTTTTGACGGCCAGTTTCTGTTCATGAACGCAAAGACGAAAAAGGTGTCCACTTTGAGTTATATAATGTTTTTCACAGTTGTTGCAGTTTGTCTTGTAGTTGTTGATTTTATCTTCTGTCACTGTCCAGTCTTTTGGTTGACATAATGCCGAGTAAAGTGATTTTGTTGATCTGCGCATCACATCATATCCAAGCAGTTTGAAAAGTCTTGCAGGGATTTATATATGGTAGAACAATTTTCTTTCTGTTTTCATTAGGGCGGACCTTTGATTTGGTCAGTTATGTGAAGAGTAGATGTCTTTCGATGACATTTTGTGGATATCCTTTTTTTGGGAGATTTCCATAATGTATTTTTCTTCAATTTTCCTCAAGGTGCGAGTGCTGCAATAAAAGTTCGCTCTCTTCAATAATGTTTACATGCAACTGTCCTTGTGTTTTATTGGGTTATTGCTGTTTTGACTGAGTTGATTGACTTTCTAATTTTCCTTTAATTGCTTACTTGACTAAGACGTCTGAAAATGGAATTTTAACCTCGAATTCCTTTTGCTCTTTGGAATTTGATGTCGTTGAAGATGTTGTTTGTTAGTTTGTCTAAATTGTTTCTTCTGATTATCACGAATGTGTCATCTACATAACGTGTTCAAATTTTGTTGTTCGTTGCTGAGTATATGTTCTGTTTTCTTTTCCTGTTTAATCAAAATGTATAATGCTGCAATATCGAAGGATACTATTATTTCCTGATCGTTTATTTGAATGCCCTTGATTTCCTTTAAAAAGTAGGTTGCAGATTTGGTGGAGTGATCTTAAGATTCTGTCAGATGTTTCAGTTTTTGGCATAGTTCTGTGGATAAATTGTATGTTGGGGTTGATCGTAGGGGGATGTTTAATTTGTGCATTTTGAGTCTGCTGTAAAATCAGAATAGAACGGGTCTACTGAATTTTTTGTCGACATTGATCTTCTTTCATGATCTCATCTATGATCCGCTTCATCCTATTCTCCGCAGTGTTTTTTGTTTTAACTGACTACGATTACCGGTAAGCTTTCATCTCTTCACGCAAACTCCTCTATCTCACTCACCGTTGGAGGTTTAACTCGTTGTTCACTATTCAGGCTCCACTCTAGAGCCTGGCATATGAATTCACTCAACAGTAGTCCCCGTAGTGTATATCCAATCTATCTCCATTTTCTTCTGCATACTTATTTGGTGATGGGTTGTTGGTTGGTTGAACTGCAGATATTCCTGTTGTTAATCTCTTTTGCCCCCGGCGATCCGATCTTCAGTATGGAGCCGGTGAAGATAACTGTTGATAAAGTTCATAATAGTCTGTTAGAAATGCTTTTTGAAACTCGTCGAAAAAGCGAAGATTCTGTGTGTCTGTTTTCGACGTAGAACTTTGCAATTAGTTCCCTTTATGAATTTAGACAACACAATAAGAAGACGTAGTTTATCTGAAACGTGTAATGTATTGGCGCAACACATTTCGGACATTCTGATCACACACGTACATGTCATACACAGTTTTTATAGAAGGCATGAATAATCACAATACAGGTCAGATTGTGAACAGGTCAAGGTCACAAATAATGGGTAGGGAGACGCAAAAGGTGTGGATGAGAAAGATGAAAAGAGAAATACAAGGCAAAGAAGGGGTTGCAAATATTATGAAGTAAATTGGTCCTTAGTTCTAAGTTGGATTACCAAGGCAGGTTTAAGGTGACCTGTACACAATCTGACCTGTATTGTAAATATTTATGCCTTCTTGCCTTCTATAAAAACTGTGTATGACATGTACGTGTGTGATCAGAATGTCCGAAATGTGTTGCGCCAATACATTACACGTTTCAGATAAACTACGTCTTCTTATTGCGTTGCCGAAATAGAACTTTCCACCGATGTGCGGCAGTTCAAGTTACCACACTCCCTCCTTGTACCACACAAAGCAACAGAAGAAAGTACTAGAAATGCATAGTACAGACAGTAAACACAGGTTTGAGACAAAGGAAGAGTAATAACGAAGAACAATATAGTTTCATTGCAAATCATAAGTCATACGAAGTGAATGCATCTGAGCCAGCCATTGAGAACAGTCACTTCGAGCCATATCACATATTGTTTCCAACCATCGGATTTTACCATCTCGAGGATCCCAACCAGTCAGGAAGTCTACACCTTCTTACGTGGCTGACTTAAACTAACTGTTGTAGATTTCATTGACTGGTGAAGCCATGTTTTGTTTTGACCGCCGCTAGCTCTTTTCCAGGTTGACCCTATGTCAGCCAGCTAATATTGCCCATTGTCGAGGAAGGCGATTGATGCCCAGGAATG